GTTAAATAACTACCATGATATTTTGTTCTCATTATAGGTGTTTTAATATCTTCAACCCAAATTTTAGCACTCCAATCTCCAACTGTTAAAAAGAATTTTGGATTAGGAGGACTTCTATTAATAGACATAACCGGTCCTAAATGACGTCCACTTTCTAATCCATATCTAGCTGTTATTTCAACTGCTTTCTTAGGTTTTTTATTCGCAACCATTAAAGAACCCATTTCTGTACCAATTAAATATTTAGTTGGACCAGCTTCTGTATTATATTCTAATACAGTAGCACCAATTAATGGATCATTTGGATTTGATCCTTCCGTTACATTTAATGATTCTATTGGACCTTCATTTAATTTTCTTGTATCCCACCATAATACACGACCATCAGTTGATGTTGTTACACATTCTGTACCGGTCTTACTAAATAACCATTAAAAATGAGTTATTGGATCATGATGAGATTTCTCAACAGGTGATGTTAATACAGGTTATTTACCTCTTTTTACATCCCAAACAGCTACTAAACCATTATAACAACCACCTCCAATTTAATCAGATAATTTTGGATTATACATCAAATTAGTTATTGGTGAATTAGTCTCTAATTCAAATTCAGGACTATTTGGATTTTATAAATCCCAAACAAATGAAGATTTCAACATTCCTTCTGGCATTTATTAAAATCTACTTATAGCATAAGAAACAGCTGCTTTTATTGGACCTTCTGGATGCCAAGATATTTCTGATACAGATCTCTTCACTCCTTATGATTAATCCCTACTTATACATTTTATAATACTTAAATAACATTAATGTCTTAGTACTTAAATTTTCAACCTAATGCTCACTTTCCTCATCTAAAAAATACTCCTCAAATAAATCTATTTAATTATTCTAAAGAATGCATTTTTCCACTGTATTACTTAACTCCTTTACAGCAACTGCAAATGCCGCATCTTTCTCAAACCTTCTTCTGTATTTATTTTAATCTTGCTACTCCATTGGGTCTATACCTGCAGGCCACTAACAACTGTTGCATATATTATAATACCCCTCCTTCTTTATGACACATCACCTTATCTCCTGTTGATACTCTCTCTGTATTCACCTATGTTTTAGTTTATTAAATTCATACAGAATGCTCTGAATATTCTGCTATATTATCTAAATCTATATGATTTGGATTCCTTTTCACATAATTTGGAATTATTGTAATTGTCTTTGTATAACCTGCTATTTTTATTTCACTATCTTAAAAATTGCAAGGCTTCCCTAGATCTCTTCGTTTCCTCTGATATGTATAATAATCTGCCATTTTAATTATTAATATTAAGTAAAAGTAATTCAAAATTGCATTATATACCTAATTAATTCAAAACACTTTTGATCCTCCCATTCTCCCTTTCAAAAATATATTAGAATACTTCACGCAATTTGGATCATGATCTATTTTTNGCTTCTGTATTATATTCTAATACAGTAGCACCAATTAATGGATCATTTGGATTTGATCCTTCCGTTACATTTAATGATTCTATTGGACCTTCATTTAATTTTCTTGTATCCCACCATAATACACGACCATCAGTTGATGTTGTTACACATTCTGTACCGGTCTTACTAAATAACCATTAAAAATGAGTTATTGGATCATGATGAGATTTCTCAACAGGTGATGTTAATACAGGTTATTTACCTCTTTTTACATCCCAAACAGCTACTAAACCATTATAACAACCACCTCCAATTTAATCAGATAATTTTGGATTATACATCAAATTAGTTATTGGTGAATTAGTCTCTAATTCAAATTCAGGACTATTTGGATTTTATAAATCCCAAACAAATGAAGATTTCAACATTCCTTCTGGCATTTATTAGAATCTACTTATTGCATAAGAAACAGCTGCTTTTATTGGTCCTTCTGGATGCCAAGATATTTCTGATACAGATCTCTTCACTCCTTATGATTAATCCCTACTTATGCATTTTACAATACTTAAATAACATCAATGTCTTAGTACTTAAGTTTTCAACCTAATGCTCACTTTCCTCATCTAAAAAATATTCCTCAAATAAATCTATTTAATTATTCTAAAGAATGCATTTTTCCACTGTATTACTTAACTCTTTCACAGCAACTGCAAATGCTGCATCCTTCTCAAATCTTCTTCTGTATTTATTTTAGTCTTGCTACTCCATTGGGTCTATACCTGTAGGCCACTAACAACTGTTGCATATATTATAATACCCCTCCTTCTTTATGACACATCACCTTATCTCCTGTTGATACTCTCTCTGTATTCACCTATGTTTTAGTTTATTAAATTCATACAGAATGCTCTGAATATTCTGCTATATTATCTAAATCTATATGATTTGGATTTCTTTTCACATAATTTGGAATTATTGCTATTGTCTTTGTATAACCTGCTATTTTTATTTCACTATCTTAAAAATTGCAAGGCTTCCCTAGATCTCTTCGTTTCCTCTGATATGTATAATAATCTGCCATTTTAATTATTAATATTAAGTAAAAGTAATTCAAAATTGCATTATATACCTAATTAATTCAAAACACTTTTGATCCTCCCATTCTCCCTTTCAAAAATATATTAGAATACTTCACGCAATTTGGATCATGATCTATTTTTATATAATACGCACTTACTTTCATCATTCTCTTCCTTTATCAATTCTTTCCTAAAAAATGATTTCAATTCCTCGTTTGGTTGAAATAGAGAAAATGCACTAGAATTTGAACTTATTGAATCTATTTTTACTTCTAATTTATATATACCTTATTCCTCAAACTATGAAACTTAAACTTCTTTCCCTGCAGATGAAACATGTTCAGCTGATTTCAATGAAACCTATTATATTATAGGAGAATTTATTAATTTATCTGCCATCTACTTTAAACCACCACTGTGCTTATCGTAGTTTATTGATTATTGAGTTTTAATTTGATTTCCTTATGTCTTTTATCTCTAAAAAAATGAAAATGTATTTTCTGTTTACAAACTTTATTATTGTTATTATTATTATTATTGTTATTACTATTATTACTATTATTATTGCTATTATTATTGTTATTATTGTTATTATTATTGTTGTTATTATTGTTGTTATTATTGTTGTTGTTGTTACTATTATTATTAGTATTATTATTATTATTATTATTATTAGTATTCATATATATTTGGAGACTTTCTATCTTTTTATTATGGTGTAGATTAAACTTTTTTAGTTGCTATTTAAGTTTATATTTAATTTGGTTCTGATTTATAATTCATCAAACCCTAATTATTTTTTTTCTCTTAAACTTGCCATGATTTTTCTAATTTCTAATCTGGCTAGGTTTCAGTTCTCCTTCTCAAATTTAGAAGATCCTTTTAAGATTAATTATACTCTTATTATTATTATTTTAATTATTGTTGTTATTTTTCGATTTCTAATTTTTGCTACTATTATTGAATTGATTATTGCATAATTATATAATCTTTTATTTATTATTCTTAAAGACTTGTCTCTGGAGTATCAGTATATTTTGTTGGATTTTACTTAATTTCTTCCAACACACATTAATAATCAGCTATCAATTCTCTTGTTAAATTATTTTATAATTCCTTTAATTTGTTTTCTGGACCTTTTTTTGGCTTCTAACTCTTCATATCTATAAAATATTGAATAGATTGTTTGGGTGTTTTTATATTAGAGATTTCTGATTTTGGAGATCTGAATGACTACGTTTCCTCATATTATTAACTTAGTGCCAATCTCATTGCTTGATCATCTAAATGATGTCTAGACACAGTATTTCTTTAGTGGCTTAATGGAGTTGGTGCTTAAGATTCTGTAATCTTTGGAGTTAGTGCTCTTTCCTTTTATTTTACACCTCTTAGAGTGTGTTCTTCTTCTTTAGTCTAAATATTTTCAATTTATCTTCTTATCAGAGTGATTTGTTCTTTGACTAATTTATTGTCATTCTCTTAAAGTACACTTTCAATTCCTATTAGAGCCAATAAGGTTATAGTCTATTATGGACTCTAACTTTGTAAAGTATGCATGAATTGTTAAATTAGACTTTGCCGAATGCTCATTTTGAATTAAATATATTTAAATTATCTGTTAATTATTAAATAGAAGACAAACAAAAAAAGAACAGCCACTTTACAGAATTAAACTATCACTTCTCTTTTTTTAAAATCATTTTTACTCAATCTATTCTGACAAAATCCATTTTAGTATTGTTTTTCTATTTTTCTATTTACATTTTGTTAAGCATTGACTTTTTATAATTATTTTCTTTTTTAATTAATTTAAATCCTCCTATACTTGAAATTTATTCTATCATTTATAATTTACATGAATTGGAAATAGATATAAAATAAATATCAATTCTAAAAAACTTTTTTCTGTTCAAATCTTTTAAATTTTGGTTACACATTATTTTTAATAATTCATTATGTATAAATTTTTATCAATCAGCCTTCAAATTCAAATTTTTGATCTATTTTAATGAAAGAAATATCTGATGTAAATTTATGTGTTTGTTAATAATAGTCTTACACTAATAAAATAATTTAGATTTAAGATTTAATACTGTATGACAATTAAGATATCTAAAAGAATTTAATGGATATTGATTTTTAACAATTTCGTGTAATTTTGATAATTCTTTCAATTTTTATGAAAATATTGCAAAATTAATTGAGTAAAATATAAATAAATATAATTTGAATAATATAGAAAAAATACTAAATTACATAAACAAACGATGATAATCAAATGATTGAAAATCTTGCTCTTCTAGTAGATCGAGGATCAGTTTAAATACTAAGAATATTATTTGTAACTTATTTTGGTTAATTTCTCTATGTAGATACTTCACCAACGTCAATTGATTAATCTACTTGATTTGGATTTTTTTATTCTATTTTAAAAGTGCCTAAATGTTTATTTTTTCTGTTTTAAGTTGTTTCTTATTATCCAAATAGTTTAGATTTTCGAAAAGATTATTTGATATCAGATATCAAAATGTTTTTATTTAGTATAGATTTCTTGAGTGGTTTATATTCTATTAATTTCCAATATAAAATTCTTTCTACAATTAACAATCCCTTGATAATCATAGCAATTAACCATAATAAAACCAAAATAATAATCATGGCGAAGACAATAAAGATTATTAAGAAAGATTGAGAGTCTAGAAAGTTTTTTCTATCAGTAATTTAATTAGCCTCTGTTCTAAATTACAATAATTTCATACAATCTAATCCCTAGTAATATTACAACAACTATCATTACAACCAAAAAGACTAATAAACAAAATAAAGGTAGTTTATCTTTACTTTATGACCATGCAGTTTACTAGTTAGTAAAATTATCACTTACAGGAGAGAAAATTCTTTCAATCTTAAGTTCCATTTAATATGTATCTGAACATATATCACATTTTGCTTCATGCAGTTTGTTTCGATATTTGTAGATTATTTGTTTTTTCAAGCAATATTCATGAACATATTTTTGAGATCTAATACATTTACATACTCTAATAAGAGGATTATCTCTATATTCTGGAAATTCACATATTCTACAAATACATCCAATACTCTTAAATGAATCTAAATTTAAATATATCTCAACTTCTTTCATAAATGTCTTTTTGAAATATTAATTATTGTTAGCTATCTTATTTTTGAAGTGTAGAATCAATTATTTTTGAAGACTCAGGAATTTCATTGATGATTATCTCTAACATTGTATCTATTTATACATTTTTTATCTTAATTTTGCTTTCTTGCATATTTATTCTAAATAATTTAGATTATGTCTTAAGGAGCAACTTGAGATTCAGAGATTTAAATTTTTTCTTCTCTAAAATTTTCGGCGTTATTCATAATTATAAACTTTATAAAAAAATACAACCATATAATAAATAAGAAACGTACCATAAAATGATAATACTTTGATAATTTCAATTTTTCAACAACATTAACTACTTTTTTACTTTTCTTCATAAGGTTAATAATCTTATTGCTACTCTAAATTAGTGATATTTTAATTCCCATAATTTTAATTTGCTTTTTCGCTACCTATTTTAATTCCATAGTTTTCATTTTTAGCATCAATTTATCCAAGATTAATTTTGCCTAAAATAATTTAAGCCATTTTGATGAAAATTTCTTCTACATTATTTGCTGTTTTTGCACTAGTTTCAAAAAACTCTATTCCGCATTCTTTTGCAAATTGCTATGCTTCGTTATATGAAATTTAACGTCTTCATATATATATACTAAAATTACTCTGATTCTAAATCCCCTTTATTTCCAACTAAGAGCATAGATAATTTAGGATTTCCATTCTATTTTACTTCCTCCATCCATCTAGCCACATTATCATAGCTTTCTCTTTTTGTTATATCATAAACAACTATAGCACCTGCTGCAGATCTATAATATGATCTTGTAATTGATCTAAAAGATTCTTGGCCCGCCTAAAATACTTTATTTATTATACTGTGTCCCAAATCTGTAATTTTATATTTAATCCATCTAATTCAATTAATTTTGCACCAAATTCTACCCCAATTGTCACCTCATGTTTTTATCTAAATCGTTTATCAATGAATTAAAGTAAAAGACAGGATTTTCCAACTCCTCAATAATTATTTCGTTTTCAATACCTGAATCTCCAATAAGTATGAATTTGAATAGATAACTATATGACATTCTCTATTATATATTTTAATTAAATTTTAGAGAAAAACTTTTATAAAAAATTCTTATTTAATTTATGAAATTTCATTGTCGTCCAATTGATGGCTTTTTTGTCTAAAATTCAATTATATAAATATGAAAAAACTCTATGAAATAATTCTTATTCTTAAAAATCTCAAATTACTACATATTATTATTTAAACTAGAATCATGTTATTAAGAAACATTATATGATAGAAACAAGAGTGACTAACATTTTATATAGTAATAGTTATTGGAATTGCATAAATTTAAATTTATTTTATTTATTTAATTAATTATTGTAACATGAATGAATATTCTCATTTGACTCTACCTTTTCACTTTAATTCAGAAATAAAATAAGTGGATCTGTAAAGTTTTTAATTTCCTCAGAATAAAACAAAGGCACTTGATTTATAAGTTATGAATTCTGATAGAGGCAAGTTTATTTTGAAAAAAATTAATCAGACTAATATAATTTTTAGAATGAAAAAATTTCAGCATAAGAGCAATCCAAATATTTTTATTTATAAATTAGAATATGAGAGTGAAATAAATGAGACTTATGATTCTTAGAATTATTTTTAAGACTTTTATTTTGAAGGTGAAAATGATCAAAATATTTTAGAATAATTTAAAAGTAATTGTTAATTTTATTGAAATATAGAATGCATTTAATAAAAACCTTATGAATTGGAAAAGTAGCAAATTCCTAGAAATATAGCTAAACCATTTTGTTGGAGAGGTTCTAATTTTAAGATAAATTTCATGAAAAAGTAAGTTAAGAGAAATAAAGTTGAAAAGAAGAATTTTATTACATCTTTAAAATTTGGAGATTTACCTTCTGATGTAAATGATTCTTAAGATATCGATCCATTATTAAAATAATTATTTTAAAAAAAACCAATTTGGCTTAAAGAATAATTAGTTAAAGAATTATAATAATTTTAATAATATGAAGAAAAGCTAGGATAAATGGTTTATTATTATTATAATGGTCCATGGGCAAAATGTTATGTTTTTAAATAATATAATCCATAAATTAATCCATGTGCTGCTCAATATTAAACAATAAACATAAAGAATATTTAAAATGAGGAATCTAACAGTGATGATTAAGATTATCCTTAAAAATGTTTTACTTTATTATAGCTTTGTGATTTGCAAGATAAAGAAATAGAAAATATAATAACAGAAGTCATCAACAAAGGGAAAACAAATCCACCAAGTCAACGAAATTTTGTAAAGTATGGATGGTTTGAAAAACAACAAATGAAGATTATAGTTCGAAAAATTAAAAGTATTAGATAACATTAGAAAAAATTATGATAGGATTTAAATTAAGGATTATGAAAATAATTAAGTTCTAAACAAAATTTTTGTCATCATATAATAAAAATATAATTCAATAATGGAAGACCTTAAGAAACAGTACAGCAAAATAAATAATGAGTTAAGAGAGCAAATCATACATCAGATCTTGAATGAGAAGAAATCAATTGCAGATGTAATTCTTAATTAATATCAAAGGTTGCCTAAGAACACAATATATTACAATCTACCTGTAAGTCTATAATAAACACATATATGAGAGAAGGAAGAGTGGGTAAAAAGGAGAGTCGTGTAAGGAAACTTAAAAAAATTATTCGAATATATGATATTGTTTTAAACCCAGTCCAACCATAGATGTCAAGTTACGTCTAATGCCAAAAAACAGAAAACTGCATCGAAAAATCTATCAAGAGTTTAAAAGAAGAAAATGATTCAAAAGAAATTCAGGAAAATCAGATTAATAATAATTTTATGATGCTTTCTTTATGGTGTGAATAAATTAAGAATTAACTCGCATCTTTAACATAATCCAATTATGCTTTTCAACCATTCACTTAACCTTATTAGAAATGACTTAAATAAAATAATTTTATTTGAAATTCATATCTTACTAATTAATTACAATTTCTAATTCTTATATTACAAATTAATTTTCAGATATATAATATTATATGCACTTTTAATTTCAAATGAATTATATAAACATCCATCCTTATATTATTTTTGGAATTCATGTTTTCTTATATGTAAAAAGCATTTTTAAATAATTTTCAAATTTTTTTAACAATTTAACTTATTAATTTAATACAATAAATCTAAAAAATATTTATTTGAATATTAGCTTTTTTACTAACATTGGCATCATAAGAATTAAGAAATTGAAATAAAATTAAAATAAGACTTAGTAAAGTTGTGAAATGGCACTATTATAAAATGCTTTGATTGATGTTGTGTATTAATAATTATTAATTATAATATAATAATATTGAATGACCTAATAATAAATAATAATTTATAATCGAAATAAATATTATCATTACAAAAATTTAGAAATTAAGAAAATTGTATTTTTCTCAATTTGTAGGCTTCCAAGGCTTATTCAAAATTTTATGGAAGAAGAAAAAGAACCTAATAGAAAAAAAGAAAAGATTAAGAAAAATAAAAATAAATAAGAATGTTTGAGTAAATATAGGTAAAATGCTAAGAGAAGTAAATTAGATGATGATGATATAATATAACTATAAATTTAAAATAAAAATTACAAACACATTAAATTTTGATCATTATTCATTTTTCTTTATCAATTTTTTTTTCTCCATTTTAAAGACTTTGTTATTAAATTTATCTCAAGATTGGTAGTGTTACATAATTGACAAACTATATTTTTTTGTTTTGAGCAGGTCTTTGAGATAGCATAATTAGACTTAATGTTTAGTTATTTTTATTAATATAAATTTCTAAAAAATTAAGTAATTAAATATTTATGGTATGAGTTTTGTAGCAAATGGCAGTTCTAATTTTGAAAAATGAGAAATTAAAAATTATTATGATGTTTTGAAAAGGCAATTAATTAAATAATATATATACTAAAAAAAGATAACTGAAGGATGGCTACAGCATTAGTTTCTGCAGGATAATCAATAAGTAAAATGGTCTTATTCAAAGGTTTAGTTGGAACTTATGTATAATAGGATATAGAGACAAGATTGTAACAAGATGTGTATAAAAAGTAAATAAGAGTCAGAGAATTTTTCACTGATTTTGATCGATTAAGAAAGGGTTGGGTAACAGAAGATAAGGTAATGTAGAATGATTGATTTATAGTTTCGTTCTGCACTATCTATGATCAATTTTCATTTTACTAAGGATGATATTGAAGAGATCATTAGAAGATATAAACTAAATGATGGTTTAGTTTAATATACAACATTCTGTAACAAACTTGAGGAATAATTTTTGAATAATGAAGCAAAGGCTTAAGTATTTTAAGCACCTTAAGTATGAATTTATTAGATTTAGATTTTTAATTCAGATGAGGAAGACACTGTAAAAAGATTGATGCAAGCAATAAAAAGAAAAATAGCTACAAAAAGAATATTCTTAAAACAGCCATTTTAAGACTTTGATAGGACTGCATGCTCTCATATCACAATTGACTAATTTTCAAGAGTATTAAATTAATTAGGATTATTACCAAAAGATTAATATTTGCAATTGTTAATAAGACAATATATTGATAACGGAAATCCTAAAGAAGTTAATTATGTAAAATTTTGTGATGATGTTGACAATGTTTAAGAAATGTTAAGTGGAGTAATAACAGGAATTAAATAGAATCCAAAAGATGTAAGATAATAAATAATAAATTAATTAGATTCACCCTGATGATGATTTTATAGAGGATAAAGAAGGATTAGATTTGATTTCAACTTTATTTACATCAAAAAAATTGACAGATAATATAAATACATTAAATTAAGTATTAAAAAAGATCTAAGGTGATGTTGTAATGAAAAGAATTAGAATAAGAGAATTTTTTAAGGATTTTGATTCTTTGAGAAAAGGTTTAGTAACAGAATCATAGGTATGATATAAATAAATTAATTAAGTTTGCTAGAATTTTACATATTTAAAATATTCCTGTTTCTGAAAAAGAAATATAAATATTATTAAATTAATATAAGATTGATAAGATTCCAAATGGTTAAGTGGATTATAATCAATTTTGTGAGGATGTTGATAAAATATTTACATTGAAAGGAATTGATAAGGAACCATAAGCATAAGTTCCTTAAATCGATGATTCTACAACATTACCTGCAAGAAGAAGATATTTATAGATGACAGAATAGGAAGCTATTTAATTAGATGAATTACTTATGAAATATAAATAAGCAATTTAAAATAAGAGAGTTTTATTGAAACCTGTTTTTGAAGATTTTGATAAAACAAAATAGGGATATATTACAACTAATTAATTTTTAAGAATATTAAATTAATTTAATTTATTTCCAGATCCAGTTTCATTAAATTTATTATTAAAAAGATTTGTTGATAAGGCTAATTTGAATGAAGTTAATTACTATGATTTTTGTAGAATTGTAGATTAATCAGATGAAGGTGTTGCAATAAGTAGATCACATGCAGATGCATTTAAAAATTATGTTAAATCAGATAATTTAAGTTAAGCATTTATAAGAAATGATTAACCAAATGATTTTGAGGATTTAATGGCTAAATTAAGAAGAATAGTAAAAGAATAAAGATAAAGAATAGCAGAATTTTTAAGAGATTTTGATAAATTAAGGAGTGGAACAATAACAATAACTTAATTAAGAAAAGGTTTAAGTATGGCTAAGATATTTCTTTCAGATGCAGAATTTTAATTAATTTTAAATAATTTTGGATGTAAAGATAAACAAGGATTTGTGTTTTGGAAAGAATTTACTGATTAAGTAGATTAAGTATTTACAACTAAAAATTTGGAGAAAGTAAGTCCATCAGAAGATGTTCCATTAATGTCTACTTAATATAATTATGGTAGAGTATCTATTACAGAAAGAGATAGATAAGTAGCTGAAGTTGTGAAAAAGAAATTTTAATATTTTTGTAAAGCAACAAGACTTGATATAAAATAATTCTTTTAAGATTGGGATAAATTAGGAAGAAATAAAGTATCACCTAAATAGTTTAGATAAACTTTAGCAACAGTTAATTTTATTTTATCAGATGAAGAATTTTAAGCAGTTGTTAAAATTTATGCTGCTGAAGATGATGGTGATATTAGATATGTTCAATTTATAAATGATACTTAACCACCATTAGAAATATAAACAGAATCAGGAGCATCTTAAGCTTATGTTGGTGTTAAACCAAAAGAAAAAGAAAAAGTAATAATTTTATAGATAAACAATTAGTTATAACCATCTGTGTTATTAGAATAGATTAAAGTAGCTGTTAAGGTTAAGAGACTTAGACTTGGAGATTATTTTAAGGATTTTGATCCTTTAAGAAAAGGACTTATGCCCACTAATAAATTTAGAGGAGTTCTTAGTCAAATGAAAATAGATTTAGATTAAGAAAGTTTAGATCTTTTAGAAACTATGTATGTTGTTCCTGAAGATCCTATCAGAGTTAATTATGCTAAATTTATTGAAGATGTTGAAATTGTATTTACTAAAACTGTAATTCATTATTTTACAATTTTATTTAGGGATTAGATAAAGATCCTTTAATGAAACCACCTGTTCATATTATACCAACATTCCTTGATCCTAGAGATGCTTTAACTTAAGAAGAAGAAGAAGCTTTACATGCTATTATGTTAAGACTTGGTGAAGTTGTAAGAAAACATAGAATCTTACTTAAACCTCATTTCTAAGATAAAGTTTTGTATTATTATATATTTTTAGGATAAAACTAAATCCGGCAAAATTACATTCACTAGATTTAGATCTATTATGGACTTTCACAAATTACCTCTAACTGATGATTAATTCAGAGTTATTTGTAAAAGGTTTTACTTTTTTTAATTATTATTATAGATTTGCATATTAAGGAATAGAATTCAATTATGTTGAATTTGATGAAATCTTAAAAAAGTATGAGAACTTTTATCAATGAATTATTAATCAAATTAAATATATTTTAATATCTTTTTCAATAAATCTAAATTGTTTTCAAACAAAATAATATTATTATGATACAATGAAAATTCAATACATGAATTGCCAACTATGTAAATTTTAACAAATATTAATAAATTATTATTTTTCTTATGAGTATAGGCATAATTAAAGCTAAATGTGCAATTTCCATTCCTCAATCTAGTAATGTTCCTGGTGCTATGCCCATACTGATGACATTATAGAATTTAGAAAACGATAGTATAACTATGAAAATAAAATATTTTACTAGAGAACTAATACGAACCAAAATAAGGAGAATCAATTTTCATTCCTTTCATTAATGAAAGAGATAAGATGAATAGACTTGTTTAAGCAGATAAATACTCAACACCTAAAAAATAGCATTTCTAATAAGTTTAGGAAACTACAAACGAAAAATGGATTCAACATGATCCTATGAAATTAAAAATACCACCTAAAAGGTTATCCTTAGAAGATAGAAACGTTAGTAATCAATGTTATTTATTTAGGTAAGCATAGAAGTAGATCTAATGCTGAATTACGAATCAAAATTATTTAAGCAACTACAGAAAGATAGAGTTTATTAATTTCTTAAGATTAATCTATTTAACCTTAATTTGAAGAGTATAAGAAAGCTGCCTATGAAAATATATTAAATAAAAAGAAACAAATTCTTTAATCTTCACCTCAACACTAACTGGTTAAGCATTAAAGCACTGAAAATTTATAACAATTACCTATCTCAACACTTGAAAAATTAAAATAATCAAGATCTCCTTCATTTATACTAATCAAAAAATAAATCTAATAAACTCCCTCTAAGCATTAACATTTCCTAAATTTTAAATTACCTTCTCTTATTTAAAAAGAGTATATCAAACAATTTTTAGATAATAACAAAAAAGTTAAAGATCTGATAAAGGAATAAAATGATGAAAATTTTAAATTTCCTACAGACTTTGAACCAAAAATAGTAGAAATGAAAAAACAGTTAAAAAAAATGAAAAGCAGACTTAAAAATTGGGAAACTCATAGGGAAGCTACAGATAATAAAGTATTTCTAAAAGAAATTGCATCTGGGATATTAAATAAATGATTTAAGTTTCCTAGATATCAATATCATTTTAATTTTTTTTTAAATTAATTTTTATTCACTTATAAGTAATTTACAAAACTTTAAAAAAAAACCAGCAAAATAATTAAATACTATCATACCATTTGTTTTTGAAAATTGAATCTGTGCTTCGAATTCTTCTACAATAAATCTAGTAATTGTGATGCAGATGATTAATCATCCTCATATGATAAAGAAGAATCAAGTGAAGTAGCATTACTCTCAAACTAAATAATTTAAATAATAATTTATTACTCTTTCATCAGTCAAAGAAGATATTGTCTCTTAAACTGGAGATATTTGATTAAAAAGATGTTAAAATTTAGGATTACTAAATTGGTGAACTCTAGGTTAGTTATTTAATCTTTCTTTCAATATTAAACTTTATAAAGCATCATATCTCTTAACAAGCATTTGTTTTGTTTTATTTAAGTCTTTTATCTCTTTAATCAAAAATGTATTTTCTTAATTAAACTTTTAAAGTTCTCCTTATAACTTTTTCTTTTCCTCTTATATTGCTTTATTCGATACACGAAAAGATGAAAAATTTTACTAAATTTATTATTCATGAATTACTGGAGTTGTTTAGCTAAAATATTGCATCTATCTATCTAAAAAAATTAAAAACTCATTTTAATTTGCTTATTTCACTAAACATTAATCAAATAACTATATTTATGCCATTTCATTAATGTTATGTTAAGAAGTACTTCTATGCTTTATTCCTCCAAATTATGATGCAGGATTAATATCCATTTTTATATTGGTTGACATTGATTTAGGTAAAGTGTCTTAGTTTGATCTTTGCTTTCTTAATTCTACCATCAGTTTATAATTCAAATTATACTTGCATAATTGATTCCATTTGATTTTGGAGTTGTTGAATTCATAATTTAAATTTTTTTTTAACTATATTATTAAAAATTAAATAATATATTTCATCAAGTGATTCATCTAATTGCAATTATTTTCTCATTATAATGTTCTATAAATTATCAAATTTATGTTATCAATTAAAAAATTAAGTAAATAGGTTTCCTATTAATTATTCTATTATTTTATTTACCAAGTTCACTATATAAATATATAATTTAGCATTAATTTAGAGTTGGATGCTTCAGAATATGGATTAAAAAGAAAATAAAATTTTAATTTACAATACTTTATTCTAAACAATAACAAATATTATTTAATATGCTGCAATTAGAGTTAGAGGTGAGAATAATCTATTTTTTTATAAATACAATGACAGAATCTTGTTCGATTTAGTTTATTCATAGTATAAGATATTTATAATAATAGATTAATCCTCAACTCATTTAAAGTCAAAATTGAAAAGCAAATGCAGAGATTATTAAGAAATTAACGAAAAAATTGACTTAAATATTTAATATATCGAAAAAGGATATGTAAATTAGCATTTTATCAATTTAGCTAAAGCTTTAGATTTATGATGAATAGATAATATTCGGAGAAGCAACTATTAATTTAGGATTTTATATTGAGAACAATCTTCCTGCTGTTATAGATAATATTACAATCTAGAATAAGTATGATCAAGAAGCTTATGTTGAATTGAGTTTGGCTTGGAATTAATTGGAGTAAATGCAAACTTAAGAAATTCAATCAAGTAATCCCTTAAGAGAATAACAATTATTAATGAAATTAACTTAATAAACTAGAAATAGTGTATAAGGTTTAAAGATGGAGGATCAAATAGAAAGCTAAAATACAAATTATTCCTCAGTTGGATAGAACTTAATTATTCCAGAATTCAATTAAGAATAGTTTGACAAAAAATCAATAGAAAATAGAAAAAATTAGTAATTTGAAGATGAGAAAATAGAAGATATTTTTAGCATACATCTCTAAACAACAAAATCTCAAAAATTTTAAACTATCAAAGATTGTAAATTTACCAAAAAGTAAGCAACATAAAAATCATCAGGATTTTTAGAGAAATATAAATCATAAGTGAATAATAAATATAGTTAAAGTGATTATAAATCTACATTTAAAGAATTAGGATAATAAATTCAATAAAAAAGCTCAAACATATTTGATTAAAGAATGAAAATTAAAATTGAAAATTAATTAGCTGAATAAAATAAAAAAGCAGCAAAATCAAAACTTTTAGGTAAACAAACAGAAGATATAGAAAAATAAGATTTAAGTATATAAGAGGCTGGATTTTTTAGTAGTAGAAAATTTGAATTAGAAAAAGGATATAAAGATACATCAATTTAATAATTGTAAAATGAAAATAAATAATTGAAAAATTAAATATAAGCATTATAGTTAGAAAATTAAGGCTTAAATGAATCATTAATACAAAGTGAAACAACTTTTAATTTTTTATCAGAAACTTATACTGCACTTAGGAATGAATATAAAAAAATCTAATTAAAAATTTATGATGATTCTAATAATAACTTTATTCTGAATTAAGAGTATGATTATTTAAAAAAAGAATTGGATTAGAAATAGAAAGAGATTGAGTTCATTTAGAAGGAATCTTAATTATGGAAAATAGAATCAGATATTATTAAAAGAGAGAACTTATAATTATAAACAGATCTTGAATAATTTAAAAAAGAAGTTTTTAATAAATAAATAGAAAATATTAATCTCTAACGAGATATTGAGAGATAAAAAATTTAAATTAATGCTTTGGAATAATAATTATAGAATCAAAAATTAGAAATTTAATAATTCTATAAAGAATGTGAATAAATTATTGATGGAACAGAAATTAAAAATTAAAATGAAGAATTAAAATAAATAAAATAAAAAAATGGAGTTTTGGAAGAGAGAGAAAATTAAAAATAGGAATTTTTAGATGAGGTTGATAAAATGAGTCCTTTATTATAATTAGATGTTTAAATGCTAAAAAAATAATTAAGTGAAAGTATTTCTGAAATAAAGTCAAAGTAAATAATGAATGTAGTAGTAGGACCTTAGAAAATGAGAAATTAAAAAGTTAAATCAATATATTTTTATAATAACCAAATTAATCGAACTTAGATTTCACATATCTTATTAATGAATATTTAATTCTTAATGCTAATTTGAAATAAGAAAATGAAAGTTTAAGTAAATATTAAATTAAAGTTAAATTTAGTTCATTAAAATAAAAAGGATTAAGTCAAATTAGATAGTTTATAGAAGTAATTAAACATAAATAAAGTAATAATTATGATATTAAGAGAAAGAACATCATAGAATTAAGTGAAAAGAGATAAAAATCTTTAGAATAAGAAATCTTATCACTTGAAAAAGATGTTTTAAGTGGTAAGTAAAATATGGCTGATGTTATTAATGCTGTTCTTGATTGTGGTGGACCTGACTTAGCTGAAGCTGTAGAGAGATTCTTAATTACTAGAAGGAGTACGAAAATAAGTTGATAATAATTTTATTAAATAATTAAATTAATTTCTTAAAAATTAAAATAATAAAATTATTATTACTTTTTTTGTAAAAAAATACTTTTTTGAATTTCTACTTCAAACTTTGTTTTAAAGCTTAAAAATCAATAATTTTCATAGATTAACATAAGAATACTGTAAACAATGGTTTTTAATAATGATATCATGCTTTAAAGTAGTAAATTAAGGTAAATTATTTATATTTTGAGGTCCTCTAGAAGGGGAAAATTTGAAATTAATTGATGTTTAAAAAAAACAACAAGGATGAGGATGTGCAGAATTGGCTATTTGTTAATTAAAGACATGCAATATCATTATCCAAAAAAATCACAAATAAACCAATGAAATTAACGAAATTTTAATAATTCGAATTTAAAGCATAAAAAAAAAATTTTAATAATAAAAATAAGAAAACATAATAAAAATGGCAAAAGCAACATCAAAAGGAGCAAAGAAAGCTGGAACACCAAGTCAAATATTTAATTTATAGTAGAAGCTACAAAGCAAGTTAAGAAAGTCAATAAAAAGACCACTGATGCAACTCCAGCACCAGCCCCAGTGACAGCAACACCACCTGCACCAACCACCACAGCACCAGTTGTTGCAACTACACCTAAAAAATAAGGAAAGCAAACAGCAAAACCAAAGAAAGCTACTAAAAAAGTCCAAAAGAAGACTCAAAGCAAGAAACAAACCAAGAAATGATTAGTTATTCAAGAATTAATCTATTAATTTAGATATTAAAATTTTCTTTTTTTTCACTTTTGCATTTATGGATTAAATCTATTTATTCAAGAAATTGTATTATTAATTTCTTGTAGATTTAGAATCACTCATTTTAATAACTCTATATTACTTTAATATGATTAACTAATAGATTCATTATTAATATATCAATCAAATCTATATTATCCACTCTAAAAGTTGTTAATTAACAATAGTTTTTTACAGATTCAGTTCAATAACAATTTCTTTTTTAGATTCAATAATTTATAAAATAAGAAAAACAATTTGATCATTTCTTTATTTAATCACTTTGAATATATTTATTTAATTTAAAATAGAGAAAAACATGTAATCTCTAAGTTATATCTAAATAAAATTATTTTTTTAAATCTAATATCTTATTACATATGATTGAAATTGACAGGGTTATATTAAGGTAAGATAAAAACAGAAAAGCTCAATAATGTTTTTCTACCTTCAAATTACTTATAAAAAATTATAATTTTTCAATCTTAATTAATTAAATATTTAGATAAATTGATTAGGAAGACGAATTGTTTATATTCGAAAAGATGAATATAGGAAAAATAAAGTTTAAAAAATAAAATTAAACCACTTAAAATCTAATTGAATTTAATAACATATTATAAAACTAAAAAATAGCTTTATTAAATTTATTTAAGACATATTTATGTCTTAATCATAAAATATATCTTAAGATATTAGAAATCTAATTGATTTTTTAAAGTATGTAGCTACTCAAAATATAGAATTAAATTGATCTTTTATATTTATTATTGTAAAAAATTTTTATTTTATAATTAAATTTGCATCTTTAGAATGGCAATTTGACTTATGCCTTACTTTATAAAAACATGAAATATTTTTTAGACAAGAAAAGAAAGGGGAGTTTCATTTCAAATCAAGGTTTTTGATTTTTTTGATGATATTGTTAATTTTTTTGATATTAAATCATTAAAAGCTGTTTCCTGCTTAGGATTATTAATTTTATTTTAATTCATATTTTTTAATTTTATTGTAATTCAACTAAATTGTATCCATAAAAACTTATTTTAATTTTTTATTTTGTTCTTCTTTTAGAATTTCTTGATTAAACTTTTTAAAATTTTTTAAAATGCTGAATTTCTCTGCTTTTACTTCTTTCAATATAGATCTTTGTTATTCTTCTATACATTATTTTCTTTTTAAAGAATTTCGCAATAAATTCAAAAAATTTAGAAAGGCTTATCTCTTTAAGTTCAAGTTTTTAAACATTTCCTAATGCAATTACTAGAAATTGAACCTTCCTTTTTAAGTTGAAACATAATTGCTATTAATATATTAGTTAATGACGTCAATTCGTAGTTTAATCTTAACTAATTTTTTCTTTGAAGTGAAATATTTTCTATTTAAATTTATTTTTTGATAAGTATGAGCTAGTTCAAATTATTAATCTGAATAATATCTCTCTCAAAATATTAACTAAAAATAAAAGATAATCAGAGCATGGTCTTGTTGTAGTTAAAAATCTTAGAGATCTTTATCTATTTTGCCAATGCTGAATAGTGACAGGCTTAAATTTTATAGGCATAAAAATTTTGTTATTAAAGGCTGATTAGAAATTCGAATTCGACTCAATAAATTTGTTCTAATCTTGAAGCGATAAATTTTTATTAGTTTTCATTAAAATCTACATATATTTTGTCAAAAAATCATATAAAAATAGTTCTAACAATTTAATTACTATATTTATTAGAATTAATCTCAACAGCATAGGTATAACCTTGTCGAGCTTATGCAAATTATTAGGTTTATTAATATAACTTTTGCTTACTATATTATCAATCACTTTCCTCAATTTATTAAAATGCTGCGTTAATTTAGTTTATATTTCTTAAGATTTTTATCATCTTACCTAGCTTTATCTTTAAGATTTATTTCTTAGTGCTTTTTGGAATTAGCTAATATTGCATTTTTTAAAATCAAAAAACAAGAATATTTTTATTTTTTTAATTTTGTAAAATAGCTGAATTTTTCAATATTTTAAATCAAATGATTAAATTCTTAATATAATATTCACATTTTTATGAATTTACAATACCTCGATTATAATAATAAAAAAAATAAATTTAATCATTTCTGAGGCTTTATTAAAATCAGTTATGGTAAGTTTATATTAATATAAATTTGGCTAAATTTTATCCTTTAAAATACTTTACTAGTCTATATAAATTTCCTAAACTAATTGAATAACATTACCAATTTCAATAAGAATCAGTATTATTAAGGTTTAATTCTAATGATTTCTTAAAGTCTTGAAAAAGCACTTTAATTATCTTTCTATTATTTAAAGAAGTAAGCTATAAAGAAAAAATAAATCTAACCTAAATTAATTGAAGAATTTATAGATTGGCTAAAATTCATTTTTATTTAAGCTTAGCATCAATAGGATTAAAATCCTTTATTTTTTTTTATATAATTTTTTTCTTAAATTGGGTAATTATAAAATATCATTTTGGTTCTTTTAAATAATTTCTATTTTCAGCTATTAACATTTACATTAGTGTTAACGTAATATAAATTTCTGCAAAGCTCTGTTAATGAATAACAATCAAATATTACTGTTTATTTGATATTTTTTTTCAAAAATAAGATATTTACTAATAATATAACAATTTTAGAAATTAGGAAATTATTCTAAAATAAATACATTCTAATTTTGATTATAAATGCCCATTTAAAACTAGATAAAAATTTAATAATATTTTTATAAAGCTAATCTTAAGATGAAAATCCCTATTTTACATATAGAATCTATCAAGATCCAAGATATTTATTAGATTAAGAAAGGGACAATAATATTCCTAAACATAAACATAATTTTAGAAAAAATATTAAAAAAAACTAAGTTGGATTTTATGTAGGCATTTTAGAAGTTATAACAAAATTTTTCAATTCGGTTTACCTCTTATAACCAACAATCATAAAATGATAAGCTAGTTTAAATCACAGGCTTAAGATGTAAAATGTAAATTTTTATGAAGTTGCCCTTCTAATAAAAGTCTAAAATTTTATACTTTTAAGTCCCCCTATTGGTCCTAAATAATTATATATCTTTTAATAACTAATGAATACTTTAATAGGTAGTTCTTTAAATAATTATTAATTATATTAAAAAAATTTAATAATTAGCTCTGCTTTTACTAATAATAAAAAAAATAGACATTAGAATAGAAAGAAATCAGGATAACCAGAATTACTTTCTTTGAGATAAATTAAAAAGAATAAATATTTTAATATCTTTTCAGAGATTGAGATTCCATTTACCTTACTTGATACTTATCAAGATATTTAAATATTTGACAATTATGAAGAATAAGAAAACATATACTTCGAAGATTAAAATCATATTAACTGAATTTAAGAAAAAATTGATTATTCAATCTTATTAAATACCATTATTATTTTATTAAATCCTCCAAAAAATTAAAAATAATATTTTTATGATAATATAACTTTAACTTATTTAAGGCTAAATTTAAATACAAAAAATAAAGATTCTCTCATGATATTCCGATAGAAATAGCAAATAGCATAAATATAAATTGAGATGTTAGAAAATTAAACAAAATTTTTTATTTTTGAACAAAGAAAATTTTAAAATTAATTTCTGGAAATTCAATATTTTAAATTGGTTTAGGAGGCTTTTTATAATATATAACATAAATAATAAAAAATAGATATTTAATTGATATGATTAATGGATCTGGAAGTATAGGGATTGTTCGTATATGAAAAAATTTAAATCTCATAATTGTATTATGGAGTAATATAAATGATATTAATCTGAAGATATTTAATAGATTAATTTTTCAAAATATAAAAATCCTTTTTACTATATTTTCTAGTCTTGAAATTGAAGTTGCAAATTTGTCTGAAATATTTGGATAATGTTTGATATATTCTTAAAAATTTATTTAAGAATACATCATTCAATCATATAAGTATATATTGAAAATGCATTCTCTTAGAATTTCACACAGCTTTATCAATATAAACCAATAAATAATAATACTTTTATCCAAATAGAACTAATAAATTAAAAATTATTAAAATAATTAAACGACTATTTAAATTGTAGAATAGCATTTTTTGGTTTGCTCATGACTTTTTTAAATAACTTAACAAAATAATTTGAAAATATTTAAATTATATAATTTTTAATTATTACAATTAACAGTAAATGTATTTCGTCATCTCTTATTTTAGATTATTCTAAAATCAAGTAACAAGACAGAATAATTATTTAGATGATAGATTGAATTATTATTATATAAAAAAGGATAAACTTAAATTATTAAATAAAAATGTTGGTGATATATTATTTATATTAATAATTATTTGAATAATTAAAGAACAATAATATTCATAATTTTTTGATATGAGGCTAGACTTCAGATATGATTTAGGTTATACAACTTATTAATTTTTTTACGTTAGGCAAATCTAAACATTCATTTGGCCCATGTTCATTAGCACCAGTTCCTAAGACACCAATAATTAAAAATTAAGCTTTAGGATATATGGTTTAAAGATGAGTCATTAAATAAATAGCTCCACCATCTCCAAATGTTGTAGCTTCATTTCCATAATAATCTAATGATGCTTAATTAATGATAGAATCTAAGTAGGGTTGATTATCTAAAGCATTAAAACCTGGACCTGATCTTAAAGCATTAATTGTGACAGTTGCATTATATGGAACATCAGTAGTTAACTAAGGAATAATATATCTATAATATACTAATCGAACAAAGCTTTCTTTAGCCTCTAAGTGATTCTTAGTTGGAGGTATTCTTAATGATAATTTAAGAGTAGTTTTAGGTAGTAAGACATTTCCAGCTTAAATACAATTTGGTAAATCATCTGCGCCAACTACTGATAATTATGCTCTCCATATCTTATTCAAGTATACTCTAAATCGATCTTGAAATACAGGTTAAGTATTGCAATGGAAGGGAAATTTAGTGATCACTTCTTTAAAGACTTCTGCTGTTTTTTAGGTCTCTAAATATCTTTTACCAGGAACAATGACTTAGAATTCATCAACAACATCTCCAGTTTATGGATTGTCAATTCGATTTAAAAGTTACCTAAAGATTCTAAAAGATGATGGTACATTTCCAGATGCTCCTGAATGAATACCTTCTTCTAAGACTTAAACAGTAACAGTGCCTACTACAATACCTCTTAAGGTAGTTGTAACCCATAATCTATCATAACTACCACAACTAGCATCCAAAGCTATTACTAAATCTACTTAACCAATTTTTGATTATAATTTTTCTAAATAATGATATATATGTTGAGATCCACTTTCTTCATCTGCTTCAAATGCCATAATTATTCTTGGATGCTTCAATCCAAGCTCTTAGATTGTTTTAATACTAATAATAGATGCCATTATTGCATATCCATCATCTGCTCCACCTCTTCCATATAATTTATTATCAATTATTTTTGGATCATAGGCTGATAAACCATCTCTCCATCCAGTAAATGGTGGTTGTTTATCCATATGTCCATAAAGTAAAACAGTCCCATCATTCATTCCATCTGAACCATCTACTTCTACATAAAGAAAGGGGGAAAAACCTTCATCACTATGTATTTCAATCTATGCATCTATTTAATATATTCATTAATTATATACTCTTTAGATTAGCTCCTCTTATGTATTTTTCAAAAGATTTTACTGTCTCCATTAATAATCCATTTGTTAAATATTCAGGATCAAATTCTCTTGACATACTTGGAATTCTTAAAATATCTATTAAAACCGGCAAACTTTGATCAAATGAACTCCATACCATATTTCTTATCTACTCAACTTTTTAAGACTCCATATTCTATAGAATAAATAACTATTAATTTATTTTCAATCTTAACACTAATTGTTTTCAAAGTATGTCATAATATTATCATAATTTTAAGTATTAAATTACTTTTTTCAAAAATCCAAAAAAATTAAACAAAAATATATTTATAACAAAACACAGATTCGAAAACACATTCAATGAAATAAAGGATCATCTCCAACAGATGAATTTGTAAATTATCTATCCCATTCTACAAATATTCCATTTTACCATTTGCCTTACTTTTCCATTTTATTTTTGCCTATATATATACCATTTCCATGTCTTTTACCATTTCTCCATAATCCTTTATATATCTAAATAATATAAGAAGATTTACTCTTCCATCACCATAATAGAAAGTACCATATCCATCTCTTTAATCATTAAGAAATTCTCCAATATATTTAGAACCATCATTCCAATAGAATTCCTTTATTAAATTTATAAATCTTACTCCTTATCCACTCATTTTATTTTATTTCCAATATCCAATATATTTAGTTCCATCAGAGCATTTATATATTCCATAACCACAAAAACAATTGTCTGCAAACTCTCCAATATATTAGGATCCATTTGCAACAGCATATACTCCTTATCCGAATTTGATGCCGTCAACATAATTTCCTTCAAAACTTGCTCCATCTGGCCAATGCTCTTTTCCTTTACCATTTTATTTATCATTAACCCATTCACCTATGTAATATCCACCATTAGAAGTAGTTAACTTGCCCTAATGAAATACTATATGTATTTACATAACCATGAGCTTTATCATCTTTCCAATCTCCTTCATAAACATCTCCTTCTACATGTATTGATCTTCCTTTCCCATTCTATTTATTATTCTTCCAATAACCTTCATAATATGATCCATCTGGCCAGTATTATATTCCTTTACCCCATTTTTCACTAAAATAGCCAAGGGTTATACTTATCCTTCCATTAACCTATATAAATATGATCGTATTCATCTTGTACAGGTCCTCTCATTATCAAGTCTGGTTCCGATTCGTTAACATCATAAATAAATTAGGGCAGGCCTTTTCTCAACTAAAAAGGAAATCAAATTTAAATAATAACTATACTGATTTTGTTAAATTATCAAGACTTTCTGGTACCTTCTCAATTTATTTTACATTTTAATGTATGTTTGTTTCTTTTGAAAAAGAGTTAAACTTTTTGAGATCGCCCAATTAAATTTCCTACCTGCTTTATTTGTTCGATGAACTGTATTCATTAGTAGCTGTTATTGCCGCACTATTATTATTTTTATAATTCTTGTGTTTTTTTCTAATCAAGTATCCTCTAACAAAAGCTTAGGCAATATTTATTTGAATTACATTAGATTTTTATAGCAGCTTTATTCGCTTATTCTGCTTCCATTTAATCTTTAGTAATTATTTGTTATTATTGACATTCCAATATTGTTGATTATCCACAGCAATTTCCCATTAATTTTTTTATAATATTTCTAAATAAATAAACTAAAAAATTGTAACAAGTCATATAAGTTTAGAAATACATAAATTTATTTTGATAATTTATACATATAATAAACATCATTGGTTGAAGTAGACTCTAACTTCAGGTACATTTTTTAAGATCTGTTCATCTTTAACAAAATTAATTACTAAATCGACGTAATCAGTCTAAAGATATTATAAAATTTAAACCTTCACATCCAATAATTCAATTATAGGCTAAGTAAATAGAGCTTATCCTTTATGAAGATCATGCATATAAATAACTGAGGATTATTTAAATACATTAATTGGTTCTAAATGATATGTTTATTTTAAGTTTTAGAATAAACTTTGTAAAGTGATTTCTTTTCCTAATCTCACTTCCCATCTATCCCATAACGTTACATTAACTTCTTCATTAAGTTTGATAGTTTCAGCTTTCATAGGTTCAGTCAATTAAACAATAGGCACAGCTAAATTAATAAATCCATTCTTCATATTTTCCAATTTACATTTTTTTAAGACTTTGACTAATTCTATAGTCTACAATCCTGAAACAACTGCTGTTGTAGTAGCTAATGCTGGAACTATTCTTCCAGCCTTTAATTTTACAGTAATCCAATCCATTTCATCAAGACCATAATTCAAAGCTCTAAGATTTCCTAAAGAATGAATAAAATCTATATGACCATTCATATCACAATCTTTTTCAAATTCTTATGAATATAATTTAATACTAAAATTAATATATATAAATACCCAACAGTTCTCAAATCTTGAAGTTATGCTAATAATTTGGAAGTGTCATCAAAAATATTATTCTCTTGTTCTTCATCTTATTATTTCTATTATTTATTCTCTAATTTTAACACTTATTCTTCTATTTCTTTTTTCTTTGAATCATTAGGTATCCATTCTTTGCATGTCATTTTCTATCCTAAAATAGCTACATCAAGTCTATTCTTATCTAATCTCCAATCATTTGGTGTGGGTAGATTATATTGTTTAGCTCTAAGAAAAGCCATTGTTGATATAAATTATACTACAATGTGATTTTCAATGTCATAATTTAAACATTTTGGAGGTCTTTTTGGTAACTTCCAAAAAGGTTATCCATCTTTTGTTTTTGCATCAATTGGATATGTGTAAAGTAATTATTTAATATCATTGATAAAGTATTTTTAAAATTTGTTTTTAGCCCATTAAATACAATCATCTAATTTAATTGGAGCAAATTATAATAATTTGATAGTAGATTTTAATTATTTAATTTCTTCTGGATTTGATGGATTAAATGATTAATTATCAATAATATTTTATGCTAATTTTGGTTTTAATGAAAACAATTTATTAAATTTATCTCTAGCAAATTCAATACAATGGAATGTTTCTTCTGGGAACATTTTTAAAGTACAATAAGGAATTTCACCTTCTTCAACAGGATCTTACATACTATTATATGATTCTGTTTAGAATGGAATAATGCATTAAACGTGTCCCTTAGGTCCAAGTGTACCTGATTCTAATAATGGAATCTTAGCTTTAACACATCTACGATCAACATATCTTCTAGCTTAAACATTATCCAATGCATTAGCAACAAGTGATAATTATTCAAAATATTAATCATTAAAAATGTTTTCAGTTAATTCATGAACTTTATCCATTCTAGCTATCAATTTACCCTTAAGAAGAGGATTCATTTAAATTACAGCTGCTGCTGCAGTCTATGATTTAGGTTTATGAATATGTTTTTCTCTGAATAAGAATTATCTATTTAAATTGGATGTTTCAATATGATCAGGATCAGTTATAGTAATCTAACCTTCAATACTTAAATTTATCATTGCAAAATTCTTTAATAATTCACATCCAATAGCACCACATCCAACCATAAATATTTGAGTATTCTTAACTTTCTAATAGAGATCTTCTCCCATTAATTTAGCCAAAGCATCTTTACCTGTAATTTATACTTGATCTAATGCTTAAATCTAAGCTAATTGATCTCCTTTTTCATCCCACATTTCGAAAGGTAAGACTTCAATACAATCAAAATAATAAGCTTAATTAATAGGAGTAAATTTATTAGTGAGAGCTTTAATAATTTCTTAAGAGACAAAACCTCCTAAATAAGCAGCAAGAGGAGGAAATGCTGGTAAAGTGAATGTCTTTTAAAACATTTTGAGATAATATTCTAAATACTTAGCTTGTTTTTAATTCTATGAGATAAAATTACCCTTATCAAATTTTTAAATGGAATCAAGTAGATTAGAGATATCTCCATTTATATATGATAGAGTTCTATATGCTAAATGTAATAGACTTTGTTCCAATGGTTTAATACTATCACTATCCTTTAGATTGGGGTCTAAGAATTCATCACTGTTTAAAACAGTATCTAAAGATTTATTTGAAAATGTAATAGTTTATTTTACATGTCTGGCTATTCCACTTGATATATATGGAGAGTATTAAGAGATATCATCTAGAATCTTAAACTTCTTAGTTGAAATTGTTTAGATTTTAAGGAGTTGATTATTAATAGATTAATCTCCTAGTTACATTCCTTAAACTTGCAATAATACGATATGATCACCATCAGCAAATTAAGATCGTTATCCTTCTAGTAATTCAACCACTCCATCTAATGAAATGGATTTAATAAGAACATCTGGAATATCTTCTCCATTCTTATCAATCACTTTAAATTCATTACCAAAGTCATTAATTATTCTACCGTAAACAGAATTTGCATTAGATATTATCAGTTTAATATTATGAGTTCTACAGAGATTATCCCAGCAAATTAGTTCATTGTAATCGTAAACATCTGTTAGAATTGCTATATCAAATTGCTCTATAGTTATATACTCTTAAATATCCTTTTCTACTACCTTAACTCGAACATAATTATTTAATTATTAAATTTTATCTACACATGCATATGCCTTTACTTTTCCAATATCAGATTAAGAAAGGAAGAATTACCCAACCAAATCATCTTCAATTACTATCTTGTTATCAAAAAGAGCAAAAACTCCAACTCCAGAAAGCACTACATTCTTAGCTATTTCAACACCTAAAGATCCTAATCCACTAAGCAATACTTTTGCATTTGCTTATTTTTTTACAGCTTCTATTCCCATCGCTCCTATATATCTACTCCATCTATCTCTTACTTATTCATTACTCACATCCAGTACTTATTCTTAAACAGCTTTATCATAAGTCACATCTACTTCCTCTATATTGAGTATACCCTCTGTAACTTTTTAGATATTCACTTGATTTTCTTATTGTTTCTTCTTTCTTCTTTGATTCAATTTTGGACCAATTTCTTTGATACTTGGATGCTACAAAGCATTTAAAGCTTTCTCTAATTCTGCAGTAGCATCTTTTAACATATCTAAATATTAAGTCTTAGATTTCTTAAATATTGAACACCATTGACTATTATGATCACTTACCAATCCCATATATAATGCTTATCTCTATTCTGCATATTGTATCCATTTTTTTACTTCATCCATAATTTCAACTCTCTTCAAATAAAAATGTCTTCTTATGATTGACTCAAATCCTACAGGTGGATTCTTAATATTTTCAATCATTGCATATTATATATTACCAAATCTAACAATATTAGAATATGCTTCATTCTTCATTTCTCCATCCGATTAACCTGCTTCCCCTTCAAATCCTGGTTCATTAAAATAAACATCTTCAGACATTATTATAGCTTATGTTGATACTAACACTTATAATATTGTTGATAATTTAGGATCCCAGTTTTCTGATGCATGTCCTCTCCATGTTCCCAATAATGATAAACATACTTTACCACATGCATATAAATTAGGATTAAATCTTACTTTACCACCTCCAGTAGTTGATAAATTCATCTTAGGAGGAGTATTTGGATATTGGTCTTCAAAATATATATCAAATAAATAAGCTCCATGAGCATATGGTGTTCCAGATGCTCCCATTATTAATGCTTTTATTACATCTACTCTATCCTTATCAGCTCTTACAAATATTGAATTTGTATGTTCAACTGGTAATGAATTAGACATATCTGCAAACTCTTATGCTAAACGAATCAATTTTGCTGGAGTTGGTATTGGAGCTTAAGTTATTTATTTTTCATAATAATGTTAATATTATTGATTTTATCCTTTAAATGAAACATAATCGAATCTTAAATCCTTTAATAATAATCTATAAGATTCATTTAATGGTAATTTTAATATCTCTTACAATTCATGCTCTTTTGCTTCTTCTAATTCCTCATCTGATTAATCACATTCAAATCTTTCTATTGCTTCCTAAACACATGTGTCTGTCTCCATAATTATTGTTGCTATTTACTTTGAAATCTAATCCTTCTCTGATAATTCATTTGTTTTTAAACACGATAAAAATATTTGAGCTATATTTTTTAAGTTACTTAACAATTCTGCTATTGATTCTATCTATTTTGGTATATAATTTGAAGGGATCTTTAACAATAAAGGAGTCAGATTTTTATGTTTTGCTAAGGTCTTTGTTAGTTGAAGATAACATAAATTAAGGTCAAAATCTTTTGACATTTCTAACAATGAACCTGATCTAAAAGCAGCTTCTAATAATGATAATAATGCACTTTCAAATATCATTTCATTAATTCTTTTTGATAGTTCTTAATTTAAATGCCAATTATCATAATTGAAAAAGTTTCTTATAATTTCTAAAAGGGATTTTAATTATTCAGATCTTACTTTTTTTTTATCTAAATATTCCTAGGTATTCCATTTTTAATTTTATCCAGTTTAATCACTTCCATAACCAACACCTTATTTCTTTTTAAGTTTTCTATCAACTCCTTTATCACTTTATGCCTGATTTTACTACTATTATTATTATTGTTCAGGTTCTTCAGCAATAATTGCTTAATAGACTCTTTTCTTTTCTTTACTAACAATTGCAATTTTATCTAAAATTTTT